TCAGTTTTGAACAGGGGTAGCACCTACTTCCTGTGGGTGCCCCCTTTCTGTTCAGGTGTTCAGCGAATCAGCCCTCCGGCCGAGTGACACACACTGTTCCCTCTTCCAGGATATACAGTCTCTAGTTCTTTCTCACAGCCCTGCTTGGGGCTGTAGCACCAAGGTTTCCTTCCTGGAAATACTGCTTTCTTTAACAGTCCAACAGGGGTCCATCTTGGTACCCTCAGTTGGTGTCCTTTCAGCAGCCCTTCCTGGGCTCAGTCTTCAACCAGATCAGCAGGGGCCATCCCGCTATCCTCACCCAGTCTGGCTAGGTTCTGGGCTCAGTCCCCTGGTCTCAGCCTGCCTGCACTGACCTGTCCATGGTCCTGCTGCTCTTCCAGGCACCCACTTCTTCTTCTTCAAGCTCCAGGCAGCAACTGACTGCTCTGCCGCTGCTGCTTCCTTTTATGTGGCCTTTCTGGACCCCAATTGGTCACTCCAGCAGCACCTCTCTATGCGCTATAGGTGCCAAATTCTGAACATAAAGTGTTTCAGTTTTGTGCAAAATGACACAACGTCACAGAGATCTGGCCTTCATCCAATCACTCACTACATTCAAAAGCAGCTTTGCATTCGCTTTAGCCATGTTGCCAGGATGGACAAAAACACCCCAGCATGCCATGCCTCAAACTCTCCATCAACACACAAAGTGGTGCATGCTTTGATCATATCTGGAGTCATTGGTAGGAGCACCCCAGAGATTCATGGATTCTCAGGATTAAGCCAGAACTGGGAACTTCACTCTCTGATGCCTGGTACGATGCTGGTACAATGTGTGTTTGATGATGATGAATGGGCACATCTGGTTATAGTGAACTTCCTCCTATAATGAGGCTTCTATATGGGGGAAATGACTTCACATTAAGAGGGATATTTTATTATTACTATTTATTGATTTTATTCGACATACCAGCCATTGTGCTAGGCACCATGCACGCACAGAATACAACACTATCTGTTTATTTTTAACTGTATCTTCAGGACGAATACTTTGGTTTTCCTTTAAGTTTTATTTTTACAACTCTTCTATGTGGTTACAGTGGCAATTTCCCTCCTCATATAGGTCACATAAACAGCATATCGCTGCTAGGACATCTTGACACATAAGAAAAAAAAGAAACAGATTGTTTGGTACAGAAGTTTTATTCAGGCAAAAAAATAGTCAAGGACAAATGTAGATAACAGAATCTAGAATAACAGATCAGGTTTTCAGACATTCTCCTCACAGGAGAATGTTACAAATTTATCCTCTGCAGAGATAGTTTTCTTTTTAGATAGTTAATTTCTGATTTTTTTCTAATGTATACAAGTGTATGTTATTAAAGAAAAAGGAACAAACTCAAAACTACATATTTAAGATTCTGTTCTGATGCTCTAAGGATCGTCAGATCTTGAAGCCAGGTTTGCATGGCTACCAGGCAGTTGACAGCCCCACACTGCCATAACCTGGCTGCTCTATGCAACCCACAATCTACAGTGGATGCATGCCACGAGACATCCCTTCTTGAGTGATCCGATTGGCAGTTGTTTTAGCAATCCCTGATTAGCTCCTTGATCCTATAGAAGCTCATGGGGCATAGTACAAAGTGCCCAGGCAACAATGTAGATCCTTAGCTAGCTGCCATGACTGTCCCACTTCTCTGTTTCTGAACCCCCAGTATTGACTTTGGCTGTGACTTGGATTCTGACTCCTGATCAACCCCTGGGATCTCAATACCAAATCTGATACCTGGTATTGACCCTCAACCTGATTCCTGACTCTATCTCCATCTCTAACACTCAGCTTCATACCTGATTCTGATTCTGGCTTGATCCTCAGCTTGGCTCTGACCCTGATACTGGGTCTGACCCCTGGCTTCAGTTCCTGGCTCCCAAAATCCTGCCACTAGTCCTGTCTTCCTTCACCCAGGATCCTGACAGATGTGAGAAAATTGATGCAAGACTTATTTTACAGACACATCCCTCAAATTCCTATTATCAAGGTTTTGGGGAAATATCCCAATGTACTGAATTAAACAGACTCCTATAGAACCTTTTTAGAATTTTTATGATTCAGATTCAAGGAGACTAGTCATAATAGCAAGCTCTATCTTCAGTAGTTGCATGCAAGATAAGGATAACAGCTAGACTCAGGTCTATGCAATATGTGTTGTTGCATGGACAGTGATCTGCTGCACTTCCCAGTCATGTAATAAATAAATAATTTAGTTATTGCTTTTCCAACAAACTGGTGTCACTTAATATATTCGCTCAGGTCTTTGGTAAAGTTGTAAGACTGGATGCAATTACAAATCTGGTTTAGCTATAAATGTGTGTTTAAAAAAAAACACAAACAAGACTTTTGAAATATTTCATCTTTAACATATGTTGGTCAGTTTGCTTACTGCACCAAAGCCTGAATAGAATAGAATGTCTGTTATTTACATGATCAAAGATTTTTCTTTTTCACACTTGTTTTGTTACCTTGGAAGTAACAGGAATGTCACAGCTGGTCTGATCTTCTCTAGCTTTGCTGGACAACCTGTTGGCAGTTTCAGAACATGTTCATTTTGAGCTTTAATCCTTTAGCTGAAGGGGCGGAGGTACTGAATCTTTAACTAAAACATGCAAAGATGTTAATTAATTATTGAAGTCAAATATGTGTTGTTCCAATGTATGGAATCACAGTCCATATTAAACAGGAGGCATTTATTTAAGAAAACTAAGCAACTAGTGACAAGAACAAAAAATAAGTTTGCTTTATCTTCTCTTGTGCAGTAGGGACTGCATCTGATCTGGATCTCTTTACAGTAAACAAGGTGAATAACATACTCAAAATGAGCATATCATTATAAGTATTAACAACAAAAAAACAAAAAAACCCCACACACAAATAAAAAAATTAAACTGTGATAAAAAAAATCCATCAATCTTGTTACTTGCTAATTTTCACTCTCTTAGTTATTGGGAATATCCTACTTCCATTAGTTCTTCAGTCATTATAGGCTATATCCATTCTAGGGAATGTTATGAAAAAATTCCCACTGGAATGGTGGGAGCCCAAGTGTAGACAAGTTTTCCATGACTGGATTTATTTTTACCATGATATTAGCTGAAACCAGGCTTAATTAACACGATAATAATAAAAATGAGACTGGTTCAAGGAGCCTTGTCTGCTTTAAGGCTCCTCCTAGCACTATCAACGATTCAGCTGAACTGGTGGTAGCACTGGGGAGGGGAGAAGGTTTGTAGTGTTCATCATCTGACTGGAAAGGTAGGAGGAAACTCTAGGGAAAAAAAGAGGAGGGTTTAGACAATAGTAGTTCATGCTATGTGCACTGACCATCTGCCATCACCCCATGATCCTCCGAGGGTCTAGAGGTCTTATTTCTCTTCAGGTAAAGATGTTGGAATTGCCACTGCTGGCCTCTTATATTGGCATCCTCCAATGACCCCAGCTGCCTTGGTGCTCGGACTGCCATGCGTGCTAATTTCTTGTTATTTGTTGCTTCTCCTCGTTGAATTTAGCATACTGCTTTGCTGTGTATTATGTATGGTCTTAGGGCTCATCTACAATGCCCCGCGCTTTGGCCTAGGGGAATGCAAATAGCAGTGCACACCAAGGTGCTGTGCGATAACACTTCTGTTTGGATGCTGTGGGCATGAACTAAAAGGTTCCTAGTTTGCGTTAAGGTATTCCTCTTCAAACAGATGGTGCAGTGAATGTTTTTTGTTTGTTTGTTTGGACTCTAGGTCCACTTACCAGCAAGGAAACAATTCAGTTTGACCTGTGCTTAGCTTGCCATTGTTTTGAAGCCTTTTGGTGATGGAGCTGTGGCTTCAAGTTCTGGGGCTTCCCCAGAAAGTTTCCTATAGTGATGTAGGCTGTACAAATCTGAAGATGCTGAGAAATAAGTAGGCAGCAATGTATGATTGTTCTTCCACTGTTGCATCATCCTACTCCTCTGATCCTCCTGCAATACCACAGAGTATTCTTTCTTTCCACTAGCACTGGATAGGAAATCCCCAGTTAATGCTAAGACAGTAAAAACACTGTTAAATTAGATTCTGCACCTGAACATCCCTCAGAAAGAGAGGATCTTGCAATGGCATGGGTTGGAGGGCCAATAGCAGCATGGCTTCTGAGAGAAGGACCACAGGAGCAGCAGAGATATCCTGGTACCAAAGGGAATGCGGAGGAAAGCAGAGCTGAGTGTCAGAGGTTGGGGAATTTCCTTCCGAGAGGATTTCTTGCCTCTTCCGCAGCCCTCCAACATTCTTTGATGTGAAGGCTGGAAGGAATCTTTTCAAACTACAGGAGAGTTCCTTGGCCAATTGTCATCCTGCCGTGGGTATTTCTTCAGGAAAAATACAGTTTGGTCCCAGGTGCTTAGTGGTGTCACTATATACAGATAACCATAGTTAAGAAATTGGGCCAAATTCACTGCTGTGTTAAATTCTATTCAACCCAGTTGAATTCAAAGCAGCAGTGCATCTGGCTCCCTAATTCCCATCTGAAGCTGGAGTCTCCTTGCACCGTGTAAAGAACTGATGGTGCATTACTGCAGCTTGCTTGGTCATGCTGTAACCTGCACAGTGAAAACTCCCTGAATTTGTATCGCTCACCTTCAGCTAAAGGGAAGCTAGTTTGTTTCCATGTGACGTTTCTGTGAGGTTGTCCTGCTTTTCAGCAGTTATGCATTTCCTTGGAAGGTGCACTGGCCACCTTCTTTTTAGGATAATTCTCTTCAAAATAAAGATCACCCTACTGAAATTTGGCTGATCTGAGACACTGCTTATTGCTTTAAGGAGAAAGGACTAGAGGGGATACAAATGAATAATACAATACAAAAGTCAGGTAGACTATTATGACTTGGAATGAATACCAGTAAATCATGCATCATGACGACAGATATAGACCTTAGAACGGTGTCTCAATTTTATTTTTCCTTTTTTTATTATTCCCATTTCACTACTAGCTGCATTCAGACCAGGACAGAGGAGATGGCTCACTTAAGTACATCCTTTCTGGAGATGGAGCAGGAGACCTCTTCATTATCAATGAAAACACTGGAGACATACAGGCTACAAAGAGACTAGACAGGGAAGAGAAGCCTGTTTATATACTTCGTGCCCAGGCTATAAACAGGAGGACTGGACGACCAGTGGAACCAGAGTCTGAGTTCATCATTAAGATCCATGACATCAATGACAATGAGCCAATGTTTACAAAGGATGTTTACAACGCCAGTGTTCCGGAAATGTCGGATGTCGGTAGGTGTCAGCTCAGTAATTCACTGTCTGATCTGGGTTCTTTTGGGGGATTTGCATCAGCATCCATTATTCAGAGGTGCGGGGCAGATACCTGCCATTGAGTTCATTTGGAGTTGTGGAGCATTCAGCATCTCTGAAAATCAGATCCCTAGTATATGGGCTGGACCTGGAACAGAAGTCCTAATGCTGTTCAGCTCTGCTTGTTTATGGGTTAGGACAGAAACAAACTGGAAAAAGGTGGGGGAGGGAGTAAGAACCGCCCACAAGAGAAAGTCAGCATATCTCTCAGCTCTTCCCTGATTTTGGGATACATTGTTAAATTTCCTTTGTCCCTCCATAATCTTTTGTTTTTCATAGAGGACAAAGGGAGTTCTCCACTGCCCATTGAAGTGAAGCCATATCTTTCCACTCACTTCACTGGGCTTTGGATAAGGCCCTCAGAATCAATAAAAAAAAAAATCAGATTTGAAATGAATGGATTAAAAATTCACCTTTGGAGATTTAGAGGGCCCCTATTTAGAGGGTTTCACAGGTTCACATTTCTTTGTCCCTTGTTTCTTTTTAGAGAGAGCTGGGAGATTGAATAGCAACACAGCTCATTTGTAATCTGAAACAATGTCCAGTGAGAGAAGCATTAATTAAACAGCACCAAGTAAAGGATTAAAATAAACCTCAAGCAATATGCAAAAAAGGACTAATAGGCATCTTCTCTCAGCTCATTCATGGGGTTTGTCATTTGAATGAAACCTTACCCCCATCAAAGTCAGAGCATCCCCCTAACATTTTACATTAGGGCATGGCGTCATTTAATCTGTGGAGTGGATACTTTGTTCAAAAAAATCTCTTCTCAGTCCCTAAACCAACACTGTTTTTGGTACAACAAACACTTAATTCAGAACTGAACAGGGGTTATTTTTCTCAGGGCTGCCCGGGGGGGGGGCAAGTGGGACAATTTGCCCCAGGCCCCCACGAGAATATAGTATTCTATAGTATTGCAACCTTTTTATATGGAAGGGGCCCCTGAAATTGCTTTGCCCCAGGCCCCCTGAATCCTCTGGGCGGCCCTGATTTTTCTTAGATGGATTCAAGATTTCAAATTTGGATACAGCCCTCAAATTCCAGGCTTATTCAGATCCAAGGTTTTGATTTGACCCATTACAAAGATGAGACACTGAAAAATTCAGTTCTTGACTTGGGTTCAGATTTTAAATACCCACCAGCATGGGGGTGTTCAGATCCTTGGGTTTTGGTACAACTATACATTTTATAGAAAATATGAAACAGAATTTAACTTTCCTCTAGAGTCTAGACTATTGACCTTTTTTTTGCTCCAACAGCAGCTGGAGTTTGTCTTTCCCTACAGTATTGGGCTGGTGTCCTTTAAATAGACGAATGGGCAAAGCAGCTTAGATGAAATAAGAATGTAGCTTAAGCTTTGCCCAAAACTTGAATTTAACCAGAACTGCATTTTCTTTAAATCCAAAAAACTTCAGCTGTGTTTAAAAATTTACTTTTTGTCTTTCCTTTTTTTTTTTTTCTTTCCAAATTGCCACACTCCCAGGTTCCCACTAGGACTGAAAGGAGAACTGCCAAAGTGTCACAAATAGAGGCTGGTTCTTGAATTCCCAGAGCAGTTTTCCAAACCTAAGATACCCAGCTAGTTATAATAAACATCCAAACTCTGGACTTGATGAGATTCCTCCAGGACTAAATTAAACAGTCTATTCTGGATCGCAGATGTGTTGTCAATAAAGAAGGAGCTGTTCAGTGCTTCATGATTAATAGATTAAATGCAGTGGGGCTTGATCTTTTGGCTCCCAATTAAAATACTCACAAGCGGGTATTTAAAAGGCCTTATTCAGTTTCCCAAAATTATTTCATTGAGGACATAGCATTTGTCACCAGCACTCCAGTCCCTAAGCTTTGTAGATCTCACAGGTTTCCCCTGAGGCACAGGGCCATTTGTGCAAACCCATCCAAATCAGGGCCCTCCATGGCTCCCTGGCAATATAGCGCTAGGAATTGGTCAGCTACAAGCTACTCCTGAGATTCCCGTGAAGGGAATTTCCCTTGCACAGAAAAATAATAATAATACAGAATAAAGCTGAATTAGTTTTAGAAGAGTAGCCACAGAGGTCTTCCCGCACCCACTCCCAAGTCCTCTTCACACACAGGGGAGCCACAGAAGTAATTGATTATTCCAGTCCAACTTGGAAAGACAAGATCTATATGCACAGTACCCCATCTCCTTAATGGAAGAGACAAATTACTTTAACTGTCTGTTAACGCGCGCGTGGGCAGGGAGACGGATTTCTGAAAGGCCAATATCACAGTACTGTTCTTGTTTGTGAATTGCAGTAACCATACTATATTCAAACCAAATGTTTTCTATAAATAAGCAAGCAAACGGCAAGTACAGGGAAAGAATATTTTTCACCCACACAAACTGCTGTTTGTTGAAATCATTTAAAAGCATTTTTGGCCCCTGTCAGAGTAGTGATCTAACTACGAAAAGAGCAGGAACATTAAAGCACGTCCAGCTGGATAAATGCACAGGCAACTATACTATAAATTGCTCTGTCCACCGACAAAAGAGTACAGGTTTTTATTTATTATTGCAGGTACATTTGTTGTGCAAGTCACTGCGACCGATGCCGATGATCCTACCTATGGAAACAGTGCTAAAGTTGTGTACAGCATTCTCCAGGGACAACCGTATTTCTCAGTGGAGTCTGAGTCAGGTCAGGAGACCTTATATCTGTCATTCTCTGACAGTGTCTGTAATTTAAAATGACATGTTAAGCCAAGCTAGGACATATTAAACAAAAACTTCAAAGAGATTACATTTTACTCAGTGCAAAATCTGACAAACCCAATCGAGCGATACATCTGTAAACATGACACCTACATTATTTTAAGCTTAACATCAAAGCCTAATAAATATAATTAGAACTGGATGTGAACTAGTTTTCAATCATTTTCAACAAGCACTGGGCAAGGACCCTTTGCAGAGCCTTAAGTTAAACCAAGTGTTGCTCAGTTCAGTAGTTTGGCTCCAGTGAGGAAAGGAGACGGGAAGGCGGGTGGAAAGATTACTCATGGATCATCATAACAGCTGAATTAAGCTGAGTTTTCTTTTCTTCTTCTTGGTGTTTATTTAAAACTTGTGCCAATAAAATGATTAAAATTATTTTTCTGTACATCTGCAATGTAGAGAGATATTTTTATGTTAATCTTCTGGGGGGAAATCTTCATTTCGAATCATGATAGAAGAGGTGCATTTGGCTCTGCCCCACTCAATATAACATCTCTCAGGATCCAACCTTTTTGAGTTCTGTCTAGGGCTGTTGGGGAGATTTTCATCAGAAAATATTGATTTCTCAAAACTGAAACTTTTTGTGGCAATGTATCTGTATCAATGAAACTTTTGTTAGGAAGGTTTCTCAGGTCCAAGATGGAATTTCAGGAGAGAGCGAGAGACACAAACACACACACACACAGAGTAGCCCGGGGTTAGTGGGAGACCCAAGTGAGTGCTGTAACCAGTGGGCTATTGGATATTCTAGCAAGGGTCTTTCTCATTTTCTGAAAGGTTTTGTTATCATTCCAATGTATAACACAAACAAATTTTGAAGCCTCAAAACTGTTCATAAAATGGAATTCTTGTTTTCTGGCCAGCCCTAATTCTGTCCTCAGAAGGGCATCAAGTCAGACAGTGCATGGGGGTAAATCACATAGGACTGGGGGGAGGGGAGGATTTAGGGATTGCATTAATAAATAAAGGAAACACCGAGTTTGGAACAAAAACTCGTTTAATCTCACTTTATGAAAAGTGGATGAGTTTACTCATGGTACAAAATTACTCATTAAAGTGATATTCAACAGCTTGTTTATTATTTTTAACTCTAGACACACACAAAAATTAAAAAAAAAGTTGTCTATACCCCTGTAACATGGCTGATTTTGTTGTTGTTGAGGTTTGGATAATCATATGTCCAATAGCTTCTGTTATAGGAGGGTGTGGGTTCACCTTCCTCTGAAGCATAAGGTACTGGCTACTGAAGGAGGTAGGATTCTTCTCTTGATGGACCAATGGTTCTGGTCTGGCAGAGTATATCTTACATTCTTCTATCCAAAGGGATAATAAGGATGAGGGATCATATGCTGTAGCTGGTAGTGCAATGGTTTCTTAGCAGAGAGTGTTTGGGATAAAAAAATAGATACAGCAAAGGTTTGATCCTGGTCCCACTGAACTCAGCAGCAAAACTAGGGATTTCAGTGGGACCAGAATTTCATTCCTACTGACTACTTAAGAGACCAGATAAATATAGCGACACAAGGTGGGTGAGGTAATATCCTTTATTGGACCAACTTCTGTTGATGAGAGCACAAACTTTCAAGCCACACAGAGCTCCCCTTCAGGTCTGGGAAAGGAACTCCCAGTGTCCCAGCCAGGGGTTGGCACCACCATGTACACCATGACACTTGACAAAATTACCATACTTAGTGATGGACCTGGGGGGTGGGGGAGGGGGTTATGTCATTCAGTCATTCAATTGTTTGAAAAATTACCACAGACCTCAACACATTTTTACCGCGGACACGTTGCTGACCCCTGGTCCCAGCTAAATGCAAGGTGGGACAGATTGTTTAGCATAAGTAGTTAGCACATATTATAGGGGACATTCAAGGTAGAGTGGCCCATTAACACCTCTGCAGTAATAGGACAAAAAGAGGGAGTTAGTGGGTTACAGATTCTTGTAATAACTCATAAATCCAGTGTCTCTGTTCTGTCCATGATTTTCAGTGTCTAGCAGAGTTATGAATTTAAGCTCCCAGGCTCATCTTTTGAAAATGTTGTGAAAGTTTCCTTTGAGGATGAGAACTGATAGGTCAGATATAGAGTGATCACTTTGTGAAAAGCGTTCACCCACAGGTGATAGGACGTTTTTGTCTTTCATCATTATCCTGTGTGAGTTGATTCGAGAGCATAGTGATTGTCTGGTCTCACCTACATAGTCATTATTAGTGCACTGGATGAGGTACACCACACGTTGTGATAGGCATATGTAGGATCCATGGATCTTGAAAGGTGTGTTGTGTGGGGCATTGATCATTGTAGCAGTGGAGATCTGCCTGCAGGTTTTCCATCTGTTGTTCTGGCAGGATCTGGTGCTGCTTTGAGTTGGTGTGTCTGCATACAGATAAATATAAACATTTTGCTTTATTATAAATATAAATTATTGAATTTCAGTGGGAGTTAGGTGCCTAACTGACATTTATGCCTTTGAATAAGAAAGTATTTAGGAGGAGAATTTCAATCACTGTATAAATAGAAATAGATATCATATGCTTGGGTGCTTGCTGCTTTCTTAATTAATTTCCCTGCCATTTAATGTTGCTGTACTGCCTCTTAATGATGCCTTGCTGAAGTTTGCTTGTTTTTGCCATGTCTGTCAAAATAAAAAGTTGATGGGATGGGGAAAATAACTGAAGTACCTTATAATGAGAGACAACCCTTCTTCCAGTTCAACAAGAGACTTTCACACAGAGTTAAAGGGGGATAAATAGTCATATAAAATAACAATGCATGCAAATCGCTTTAACGTTTTTCTGGGGATGTCGTTAATATTGTGTCTGTCACACAGGCAGCAGCCTGAGATACAATATGACAAGTCTGCAATTTAATATGCCATCTTATAACAGTAAATATTTATACTGGGCAAAGTTTACTGATTACAGAGAGACTGTCTTTTTTTTTAAAAAAATAAGCATTTCTGTCAGTACACTACCAACTATGTTCCCCTCCTTAATTCTCACCTTCCCAGGTATTATCAAAACTGCTTTGCTCAACATGGACCGAGAAAACAGGGAGCAGTACCAAGTGGTCATCCAGGCCAAGGACATGGGTGGACAGATGGGTGGACTCTCAGGAACCACCACGGTGAACATCACACTGACTGACGTCAATGACAATCCACCACGATTCCCACAGAGTGCGGAACATGTTTGTTTCTTTGAAAGTCTTTAAGGAAGTCTAGATAGAAATTAATATTTTTTCTCCCCAGTTATTTCTGCTGTCATGCGTATCAGGCTTCCACAGAGTGAGTGAGCAGTAGCTTGATACTAGTGCTTAACTCCAGTGGATGGAAATGTACATTTTTTGTAATGTTTTCACTGCTTTGCTAGAGTTAGTCTGAGATGAACATTACTAAACAGAAAGCATCCTTATTTTTTCTTCTCATTAAATGGTACTGCTGGGGACCTCCTATCACACTCTTTGTGTTAGCATGTGTCTGCAATTATTTTTAGAACAATTTCTGCTTTGTTCTAATGTCTGTGTTTTGAAATATACTAATTTAAATGAGTCAGATCTGTCCCTGGAGTAATTCCATTGAAATCAATGGAATTTCCCTGCTGGTGTGCTTCAACATAGTGCTGTTTGAAATAGCACTATGTGAAAATGCACTAGGAAATGTTTAGCGTGCACCAGCAGGGTCTACACGAACTAATTAATGTGCAAGATGGTAGTGCGCTTTAGAAATTACACCACGATAAAGCGCATTACCCATCTGTGTAGACAAGCCCTTAGAAGCAAAAGTCCTTTGCATTATTGACTGATTCTGGGCGTAAACTGATTAAAAATCTCCCACACAATTTTTTTGCTTTATCTAACCCTTGCCATTTGAGCCAAGAACAGTAGCAGCTGTTTGAGATTCTAGATACTATCAGACAAATATGAAAGCTTTGACTGTTAAATCACCAAAAATGTTATTGAAAGCAACTTGTCATTTAGGTCCAAAGTCTGCCCTTGGCTGTGGGCCAACAGCTCCCATTTAAATTGGTGGACTTAAATTGAAATGTAACTCTCTGCCCCATAAAGTCTATTATACACCTTTGCGCATGAGCATCTCTTATTGCCTGAATCAATGATGCATCAACACAATGCCAACATTCCCCAAGTAACTTTTCTTAGGGGTGTTGGGAGCAGTTTGCAGTGCAGCACATTTGTGCTAAAGACTGGCCTAGATTTGGTTTTAATGTCATTATATCACACAGGCTACTGGCAGTTCTCTATATTTTGGGCATCTTTTAACATCTAGAGGTTGTTTTTTCTTTTCCTATTCCATCTTCAGCTGGCCAAAAGGGACCCAAGATATTGTCTGACATCACTTGCAGGTAGAAAGAAAAAAAAAGTTCATGGTCATACTAGGGTCTTGTCAGGGAATCACTGACTTCTGTTGTTACGAAACTAAGGCATGGGGTGAGGTTTATTTCTTGCTAAAGACCTGGAGATCAGCAACTTCTTAAATCTACTGATCAGAATATTGGTGCATCTATGTCTGGCAAGCAAATACAGCTTTTATATCCAGACTTCAAAATACCATGGTCCTGGCTGACCAAAACTGCTCTCTCATTTACTGTAGGTACATACCAGTTCAAAACACCTGAATCTGCTCCACCTGAATCACCGATTGGCAGGATAAAAGCGAATGATGCCGATGTCGGTGAAAACGCCGAGATCGAATACAGCATCACTGAAGGAGATGGATCAGACATGTTTGGGGTTATCACTGACAAGGACACACAGGAAGGAATTATAACAGTCAAAAAGGTACACATTTTAATAAACTTAATTCCAACGTTTAGAGTCCTTTAAGAGCCTTACATAATGTACATTTAATTTGTCATACAGTTGACATTGTTCAGTGATTTACACATTATTTATTAGGAATCTCCTCCAAATCCTCTGTACAAAGCCCTTTTACCAAATCAGTTAGGATTCCTTCCCCTTCCCACCCTCCCAAATCCTGTTCCCTCTTAGAACCACTTCATAAAACCTGCTTGCACAGACTCTGAATGGGAAGGAACAGCATTTAGCCCATAAAGAGGGACAGGTCTGAGAGAAAGTTCTACTGCCTCAGAAGATTCATCGCAAAGGCTGGAGAAGTGCCCTTCAGCTGTGCTTTTTGTCCCTAATGTGAGTAAAAAAATAAAAAAAAGATTTGCTCTACTTATTAGGAAAGTGCTAGGTTAGTCAACAGAAATAATCAGTGTCCCTGTACCATTTTGCCTATTTAAATTACCTTTGACCTCTCAGAAGGTGTGGAATTATATATGCTCTAGTAAATCAAAGCACACGATTTATTGATGTACATTTTCCATATAATGTAATTAATAAACCCATTAGTGTACATTCACTTTTAAAAAAAAAAATCACTGTGCCTTATTAGATCAGAATGTGCATCATCTAATAGATTGCACTTTGGCTGTCGGAAAGGATTTGGATAATCTTGTTAATAGTGAGTTATCAAGCAAGCGTGATAAGGTTATAGATATCAACTTCCATCAGTTCAAGTTTAGTCAACATGAAACAGACATTGTGTGGATTTTCAAAACATACACTTTGCTTGTTGATATCAGTATGACACCCGTCATTACTTGTTCCTTAAGAAACGCCTTGTAGGGTATGATCATTGACATCAGTCTAATTCTGTTCATGTTCCTGTCTGCTTCTAACAGCAACTTTGTTCCTGTTAGTCTTGTTCAACAAAATGAAAAAAAAAAAATGGGGTGACTTCTCTCTGCCTATGTTACTATAAGTATGTGTGTATGCGCACAGTCCCCCAAATGTTGTTTCTTCTGTATTTTTAAGAGGGTATTAGAACTGTATGATGTAGTCACAACCTATCATAGCATGATACTCTATTTGATGAGTCACCCTAAATCACTTTTGACACCACATGACACAATGTTACATTTCAGTAATGGGCAGCCAATATTTTACCACAGGGCTCTCACAAAGACTTTTCCCCTGAGCCTGTGGTACTTAGGGAGCAGGGACAGGAGGGGAAAGACAGTAAATGTGTTGAGGCAGTTCCAGAGTGAGGAATTTGTTTTCCAATAATTATGTCTCATAACGAGAACGGTCCAAGGAGGCAAATTCATTTGGCAAAAAGGTGTATGTTAAGTGCACTCTTCCTGACAAATATTAAGGGCTAGATTCTCAGCTAGTGTAAATCAGCATTACTCTGTTGCTTCCACTGGTTACTCCTGTTGATTTCAATGGAACTACACCTATTTACGCCAGCTGAGAATCTGAATCTTAGATAGTACGTGCTTCAGGGCAAGACTGTGTCTACTCCCAGCTTCTAACACAATGTGCCACAACCTGACTGGGGCTTTTGGGAGCTACCACAATAAAAAAATATTGAGGTATAACTATATGCAGTGCAGTATTATTATCATGTTATAACTTATTTTCTGGTGGCAGCACTCAGAGGTCCCAGTCAGGATCATAGCTCCCTTCTGTTGGGTCTTATACAAACATACAGGAAGACGCAGTCACTGCCGCAAAGAGCTTAATTTGAAAAGGGGTGTGCGTAGGAGAGACAGAGAGAGACCATTAATCAGACATGAGACTCGGGGCATCCTCCTGGAATTGATTTGAAAATACCTGTGACAGCTGGCTCAATCTAGTACGATGCCAGTGTTTTGTATTGGCTCAGCATAAGTTTGTATGAGTCTCAAGCATAGTATGCCTCTCTGGCCCGTGACGTTTTTGTAGTACACTCCAGAAGTAGCAGGGAGTAAAAACCCCATACCATTCCCTAGTAATAGATTATTAAGAAGGGGGGTCCATTAGCTCTCCAATCCCCCTTCAGTACATCATCAGTTCATTCGGTACATCAAGATGCTGCCTGAAGTGGCTTTAAATGGTCGGCCCCCAGAAACCTCTCATTATTTTTTGTTTTGTTTTGTTACATGACTCTTATTTATTTTCCAAGGCTTTGGATTTTGAAAAGAAAAAGCTATATACTCTGAAAGTGGAGGCTACCAACACTCATGTGGATCCCCGATTCCTCTACTTGGGGCCATTCAAGGACTCCACTACGGTCAGAATTCTGGTGGAGGATGTGGATGAGCCCCCGGTGTTCAGCAGACCAGCATACATACTAGAAGTGAAAGAAGATGTGCCCATAAACAGTATTATAGGAACTGTAACAGCCCAGGACCCTGATGTTGCGAAAAATCCTGTCAAGTAAGCATAGACTATTTCAGCTCACCTCTACTACTCTACTTTATATTTGTTTCTATTTGAACATCTGCATGCAAAAAAAATTCCCTTTTAATATTGAAGTGTATGTTATATACTGTATATGGTATAAACATATACATATGTACACATTGTACATACATGAGTGTGTGTGCATGCTCATTACATATAACTCGATTTGCATTTCAGTTGCTTTTGTAACTACTCACTACTCCTTAGGCATTAGCTACACTAACTAACAAGAAGAGAATCTTAAAGAATACCACAGTTACATTTTCTAGTTGCAGAAAGGCAAAACTGAATAGTTCCGGTACACTATGGGTACAAACTCAGATTCACACACACAGTCACAGAATGTGAGCTCATTTATATTAGTGCAATTCCATTCACTTCAGTGAAGTTATTCACTGGTGTAAGCAAGTTTACAATCAGCCCCACAGACGTTGTAAATTTATGTAAGTCACTAGGCAATTAATTTTTAGAGGAAGTTTTGAAATTCAGAGTCATTAAAGTTGAGCCCCTGTTTTTCATGAACTAGCAAGTGATTTGAGCAAGAACACAACTACAGTGTGGTTTAGACTATGAAGGTCTTTCTAAGAAAAGTGATCAAAAAGTGGTGGTGTTTTTTTAAATGTATGAGACTCTTCTTTTACACTGAACAGGAGAAGAATCTTACAATGTGACACCCTCTTGTTAATGCATTATAACAGGTCACCAGTCAGAATGGGACATGGAAAATATGCAGTGTAGTTACATGCAATAGCAAGGTACATTGCCACCAGCATTTAAAATACAGGTGCATCTTGATTTTATAGCAGTCATGGGTGGGAGCACTCAAAGCTTTCCTAAAGCAGAGGGTGCGGGAGGGGGAAATACAAAGGAGAAAAGGGAGTTTGATAAAATCAGAGGTCATAAAATTAAGGTTTATTGGTAATACACTGCACTTCTACAAAGTACCATCCATCAACACATCTCAAAGTGCTGTTAAAACATTAATAAGTTTCAACCAACCTTGTGAGATAGTTTCCTCATCAGTAAAATGGAGATAATATTTACCTAAGGCAAAAAAGATTGTAAGATCTTTTTGTTCTGTGTTTGTACAGCACCTAGCACAAGGGGATCCTGCTTTGTGTTGGAGTGCCTAGGTGCTACTGCAATACAAATAAATAATAATAAGTAAAATAATAATCCTGTGTCTGAGGCTGCTTCCCACACTTTTGTTTTAGCCTCCCAAACAATCTTTCTGTCATATGACAAATTTTACATAAGAATATAAGAATGGCCATACTGGGTCAGACCAATGGTCCATCTAGCCCAGTATCCTGACTTAAGACAGTGGCCAATGCCAGATGCTTCAGAGAGAGTGAACATAGCAGGGCAATTATCGAGTGATCAAGCCCCTGTCATCAAGTCCCAGCATCTGGCAGTCAGAGGCTTAGGGACACCCAGAACATGGAATTACATTCCTGACCATCTTAGCTAATAGCCATTGATGGACCTATCCTCCATGAAACTATCTAATTCTTTTTTGAACCCACTTATACTTTTGGCCTTCACAACATCCCTTGGCAATGAGTTCCACAGATTGACTGTGCATTGTGTGAAGAAGTACTTCCTTATGTTTGTTTTAAACTCTCTTACTATTAATTTAATTGGGTGACCCCCTGGTTCTTGTGTTATATGAGGGGGTAAATAACAATTCTCTTATTCACTTTCTCCACACCAGTCATGATTTTATAGATCACTATCATATCCCACCTTAGTTCTCTCTTTTCCAAGCTGAACAGTCACAGTTTTTTAATCTCTCCTCATATGGAAGCTGTTCCATACCCCATATCATATTTGTTACCCTTCTCAGTATCTTCTACAATTCTAATATATCTTTCTTTTTTCCAAGAAGAATAAAATGACAAAGTAAAAGAAGAAAAAAAAAAAATTTACTAGAGAAAAAATCTCTCATCAGCACAACCTCATGATGAAAGAATGGTACCGCATAGGCTGTTTGTCCTCTATCGCCATGTTGTGCCATGGCCTCTAGTGCCATGTTGGCAGATCCAATTTTTTTTTAAATAAAGGTTTTATTTTGTTTTTACAAAATCTTACAGTATACAAGTTTCCAGAAGACTAGAGTGTAACTATCTAATCTGCCTGTTGTAAGGGGGCAGCACGCGCTTGTGCTGGTCCTGGAGGAACCCTGTGAGAAAATAAACTTCACTGTGTCTATACCTGGCACAGTGTATGTTCTCCAGCATGTCAGCACACAGACATGCTGGCTTGTGGAAGGCCCCACCCAGTCCCCATCTCCTCCAACCATCTCCCACCCAGTGGCACAGGAGGGGCAGGGAATGTAGTGCCTCTGTGGATCCTGCTTCCTGTACGTTAAAAGCTGTACACAAGAAGCCACATGCAGCACACACCAAGAAGTTTTATTTGCCCTTCAAAAACCAGGAACTATGCTGTATAGTTTTGAGCCCTATCTACCTTATCTATAACTATCTATCTATAACACATTCTTGTAACACCATGGTATGAGTAATCTACATAAGGAGGCATCAGACACCTCCTTACTTCCTTGTACAGCCATGCAAGCCAGGCCATGATTTGCCCCAGAAAGATCGGATGGGACAGAGCCCATACAAAGGGAATTGACTCATACCAGCAGAGGATCTGACTCACTAATACTATGTGCAAACATAACAATGGATTGAAAACATCAAAGGGAAATATTTATATTTACAGGGCAGTCCAAGGTGGTTGCTATTATTTAGACGAAACAGCATTTAATTTGCATGGTGAGGGAAATCCCCTTATTTGAGAACAGGGTAATAAAAATCAATTAACATCTTATTGATTTGTCCAAAATGAAAACCAAAAGAGGAAAAAGAGAGAAACGAGGAAGAGATTGAGACACTGGAAGGAAGTAACAGGGGAACAGGAAGAAGAGCAAGGGGAAAGAGGAAACCAAGGAACCACTAGCCTATGAGATGTGGGCCTGCCAATAAATTGTGATCCTAATGGGGCTTTTATGGTGCCGGTATCTTGTGGGATCTCCCAGGATGTGGGCGAACAGTATGAGGTTCCATATTCTTGACAGGGTGATTTTTTTTTCCCATGACAAGTGTAGATGCTAAATCTGACTTCCACTTTGAGCTTGAGGGAGGATGCAATTAGACTGTATGTGTATGATTTGTCACTTACTTGTCAATTGCCCTTGACAGTCAGAAATAAAATCTTTAGACACTTGATGTTACAGTGAAAACCTTCTATTTTTTCCCACTTAAGTGCAGATTTTTCCTTTTTAATAAAATGAGCCCTAACTCAGTTAGCTGAAAGACCCTTTGATCTTCCATTACAGAATCCTTCATAATATCATTATGAAAATGCATTATGAAAAATTCACAAGCACATCCCTTCCTGACCCACAAATCTGTTTGACTTGTGCTTGCATTAGACAGCAAGCTGCTGAGTATCAGAAGACAATGAAGCAAAAGAAGACTAAGAAGTGAACTTTGCAGAAATAGCTGCCATAGCCAGAAATAAACTGATCACCATGTACCCAATATCAGTGGAACCACATTTCATCAGCCTAGACCTGACCAATAGGTCTCCTAGCTGCAGAACAACATTAAGAAAGGACAAAATTGTACAATTAATGTATGCATGGATATACAAATACTGATACACAGCCAATATCACTAGAGTGTTAAATAACACTCCACCATCCAGTTGTTAGTGAAAATGTGTTGTTTGCACAATGCTGACATTCAGAGTAAACAGATAATATGCTGAACCTCTGAATTCTTCCCATGTAAAAAAATAAATTGTGCTGCTTCTGGCATTATCAGATCCTTCTTTAAATCTCTAGTTGAGTTTTTTGCTATTGTAACTCCTCAGAGGCATACTGTAGTTCATCATTTATTGGAACTGCCTCCCTGCTGTGGCTGATTTATCTAAAGTACCCCAGATGAAAATAATCTGCAAATAAATGCAAGACTTTATTTTGTTTGTGTATTTTACTGACAACTTACTTGCATGTACTGGCTTCTCTCTCCTTCCCCTCCCCCCTTATAGTTATGTTTAAGGGCACAGTGGAATATACATATATTCATTAACTTTCTAGCTTGTCAATTACCCAGGGTTTGAAGGGTATAAAGTCCTGAAATCTGACATATACGCACCAGTAATTTCATTAAAGAAATGTAAAAACAAGTTTGATGTTGTCTGCTTAATTCGTAGTAGGCTATGATCCATAAATTAGAATCACCACCAATTCCACATAATTAGCAGTCCTTGATCTAAAGAGACCCAGGATTATATAAACTGAGACAGAAATGACAGTCTAGCTTATTAAAAGCATCCTTCTAGGTCAGGGTTAATGGTATAATTAGAATACAATTGTAACTGCACTGATCTTGTATGTATTTTCGCTTGAATATGAAGAAATAAAATTAGTATTTCATCAAGACACTGTTCTCTATTATTGCTTTATTGAGTTCAACATCCTGCTGTACAAATGACCTAATGTGCATAGAGACTTGTGACAGCTCATATTTTGAAATAATAAATATTAATATATTGAAGGAAGCCTCAATGGTATGGCTGTGATAAACTCAGAAAAGCTCAAAAATTGGATACAAAAGGTTTCTCCATTGTTCCCAGACACTGTTATCACATGTAGGGCTAAATCCTGGGAGTTTTGCTAGAGTTTTGCTAGAGACTACAATCTCAGTGTCCCACAACACTAAAGCCCCAATTGGGCAAGGTATTTAAGAACATGCCAAACTTTAAGCATGAGTAATCGTGGGGGGTGAGGTAGGAAATAAATGCACTACAAACTGCTTAAAGCTAGGCACATGCTTAAGAATCTTGCTGAACCAGCGCCATGTTACTAGAGCTGGTAAGAAAAGGGAGTTTCTATTCTGTGTGAAATTCCAATCTTTTGAAATTTCTTTTCATTCCAAATCAGCATGAAAGAGTCAACATTTTCTGTGGGATGGAAATTCTGAATCTCTGGGGGAAGTAAACTTCACCAGCCATAACTTACTTCCCTCAATATGCTGGCTCAACTAGGCTCCGCCCACTCCCCACTTCTACCCACCCAGCCGCACAGGAGATACCGCGATGGCTGCTCTCCTTGGATTATGATGACCTGTGATGCAAGTAGCCCACACAGGAGAGTAAGGAAGCACTTTAGACCTCTTCACTCACCTGCACAGGCATATAGGTCAGCTCATGACTGAGCCCAGAGCAGGAGCAGAATAATAGTCTAGTTCTGCAATAGTGATATGAGTGGCGTTTTTTCGCCACATCTTTGTTCTGTGGCAATTTCATTTTAACAAGAGATGGACCTGAGCAGCAACATTTGGATCTGGATGTCAGAACTCCCTCACAGGAATCAGGGACATTCATCTCCAAGGCTTAAATTCAGCTCAGTATGAAAAAGGAGAGAGGCTAGATAAGAATTTCAAATCCATATTCAGATTCTGAATGCCCCCAAAGTTCAGTGGTGTTCAGATCCATCTGTACATATTACCAAGGAAACAAGTTGGATTATCCTTTAATGTGCTAGAACATACATTTACATGGCATTTACCATGGAATGAATCATCAACTACACTGATCTCTGTATCTTTTTGTTATTTTTTTTTTAACCAATACAATTTTGGGAGGGAGTGAAGGCAAAAATTGCACCCCAGCTGACAAATTTTGTATCAAAAGTGATTTGAAACAGTTGAGATATCAAACTATGAAAAGAGGGATTTATAATGGGAAAGCCAATTAAGCCTTAAAATAAATGAATGTCATATCTTTCAAGATACAGACTCCACATTTCTCACTAAAAGGCAAACCTTTGATGCTTCTCAGAAGTATGTAAATTCTACAGTAATTCATTTATTCAGTGACAATGCCCCACCTTCTAAATCAAACCCTCCAATATGTCATTATCCAACAGCTCAGAACAGACTCTTTGTATGAATATATCAAGATGCCGAAGTCTGCACTGAAAACAAAAAGGCAGCTCATTTACTAGGTATTTGATGTCTAGTCTTAGGAAACAGTTTCAAAACAGAAATTAAAGTAAAGGCATTTTTTCTAACCATGGTCTCTGTATTTTCAGATATTCCGTAGATCGGCACACTGATATGGACAGAGTATTCAACATCAATTCCGGAAATGGTTCAATATTTACTTCAAAACCCCTTGACCGGGAAACATTGCTGTGGCACAACATTACAGTAATAGCAGCAGAGATCAGTAAGTCAAACCTAAATACCACCGCTGTCCCTGATATAATGAATTTAGCCTTCTAGCTGAGTGTGTGTAAACCACTGCTGGGAAGATGTCAGGCTGTATGGATGGGCCCGCTCGATACTAATCAAGCAAGGGAAAGGCTGAAAAAGATGCTCTGCACTTCCTTTTCTTTTTCCTAGGATTACAGCTTATGAAGAGACAACTTCTGTATCTGAATAGGCGGAAAGTTAATGCTTATGTGTTTCTGAATCAACCTGCCTGGAAAAATGCTCATAGCCATTCTTTAATTACAGTAGGATTTGCCGACTTCTGAAAAATTGTATACAGCAAACAAGATAGTAGGAAAATAGGCCACACAGTGCAGCCAAAATCAATTCTGTAGCATAGCCTGGGAATTTTCAAGTGAGCCAAAAGGTCCCCAAATCCCATTAACATGCAATGAAAATTAGGCATCTAACTCCCCTAGGCACCTTTGAAATTCCCATCCATAGATACTAACCCATTCCATTATTTTCGGCCCAGATGTAGGGAGTCTCTCTCTGTGATGACACCATGTGTGTTAATTGTTTTGCGAGCTAGACAACCAGAGAGGTAGACCGGGTCTGTGTGAGACAGGCAGTCTCAATAAAAACATTCCCTTGATACTAATATTTTAATCACGTCTCCTTTCTGTCCTGAGGCATGCTGCAAATGCTGGCATCAGTGGGTGCACACTCTATTTATTTCTGTGGAGTTGCATACCCTTATGCTAGGGCTGGATTTGATTGAAGCACGATGGAATGGATGGATCACTGGCTGTATAAATGTACAAAAGTTTGGATGCTGTTGGGAAGCTTCAGAACACTTATTTTTTAACTTGGTATAAAGCAACTATAGGCCCTACTTTCTCATATATTGTACATAAGTAGATATATAGCTGAAAATAACCTATGTGCAAGCCAGGCTACAAGGCTGGACTAGCTCTTTCAAAGATGGGCAAGCTTTATAGTTTCTTAGCCCGGCCCCCACTAAAGCCATTCGGCAATTGGAGTTTGTCGTGGACTATTCCATCAAATTGCAGATGCATTTCATTGAACTAAATAAAGCTAAATGAAGCTAAAGAAATATTGAGACAAATTAAGAGTAAGCAAGTACATTCCCACTGAAGTGTACTCCCTTCACATTAATTACCAGTACATTTGTAAACTCATAAAGAGAAGCACTTTACAATGGTGAGTATAGTTATCCTCATTTTACAGAGGGGGAAAACCATGGAGATACAGAATGGTTATGGCCAACATTTTCTAAAATATCTAGTAAGTTTGGGTGCCTCAGTTTTTGGGTGTTCCCCTGGAAACACTTTGACCCAGATCCTCAAAGGTATTTAGGCACCTAATTCCAATTTAAATCAATGGAAGTTAGGTACCTATATACTTCTGAGGATCTGGGCCTTTGGGTCTCTTGTTCACAGATGCACAGCACCTCCAACTCTAAGTGAAGTCAATGGGAACTTCAGATGCTTCCAATTCACCGTCACTGGACTATACTGCCTCCCTAGTGAAATTCTGAGGGTGGTTTAAATCTTTACATTTAAATTGGGAAAGGTACAGTAGATGTTGCACTGCAGAAGACACTCGACAACCAGAATCAGATAAATTTTAGGATTTCAGTCTGTGGATTGACAGAAGCTACATCCAAAACTAAGGAGATGTGTTAACATTATGTACCAAGATCCATACAGTAGCACTTTTTGCTGGACAGTCTAATAACAATTAAGTGATTGTGAACAAGGAGAAGTTAAGCATCTCTTATTCATTAATGTAAAAGGGTTTGGAAGGAGAAAAGAAAGAGCAGTGAAGCTTGAAGATTGTATAAGTACATTGGATCTACATACCTGTTGTATCTCTCTGAAGAAAAAAAGTGAGAGAGAGAGACTTGGAATTATATATTTTTCATGGAAGTTCTCCTAGTTACTATATTGTTGTTTTGAAATTTTTTTAGACTCAGAGCCAGCTAGAAATAAATAAAAAGGTGTAGTTACTTGTACAAAGCAGCATGCAGAATAAGTATAATTAAGCTTGATAGGAAAACCCTCTCACATATTTGAGTGAATTCCTAGAAAATACATATAGGTGTGAAACCTTCATAGCCATGCAAACTAAAATTAGCAGCTGGGATTTTGCCCATTATAAAGATTCAAAATTTGTATCTACCTTTTAGTGTAGATTTCAGCTTGGTCTATATTATTCTTAGACTCTTAGTATTATTTTACACATGGGATCAATTTAGACCAATGGCCCAAATTAAAAAATGCTTTATATCCAATTCAATCATATTCACTTCAATGCAACTGTAGAGGTTTAAAGCACAGTATTTGGCCCAAACCACTAAGTTCTTTAATACAGTACAGAGCAGGCAGTTCCAATTTTGTGAATATAAAGTAATAAAATAATAGGTGAGTATTAAAACCAAATTCTACCAAAAACACTCCAGTGAATTCATTTAGATATATAAAAGGCTCGAGAATTGCTGTATTTTATTCATCTGTTTTATTACAATATTTTTGCCTTTGACCCTTGTTTAAGATTCATTAATAATCTGTAGAATCAGTATTATGGAGGGTATGGTTCTTTGGAGCAATTTAAACCAATCCAGGAAATGGAGAAATCCCAATAAAATAAATGACAACCCGTATTTGCAGATTTTTATTTTGGTTGTGATGATGCTCTCACTAAAACAAAGGTGTTGTTGTTTTTTTAAACTCAAAATGCCAAATTCATTGCTTGCTTTTATTTTTATATCATTGAAGTTGATTTGGATTTATGAGAATTTTCCAAATTGCTTCTTTTTTATGAAGTAAACAGTATTTCCATAAAAATTTTAAACTCAAGAATTTTTTTTAAAAAGAGTACATCACTCTTGCTGCTTTATACAGCTTCTATGAGAGAAGTAAGCAATGCACTACAGATTCCTCAGCTGATGTGTTTTAGTGTCAACTCTGGAATAGCAGCAAACAAAGATCAATCCACAAAAGGTCAGAAAGCATCTGTCATAACAAGAGTTGGTGTTTATGTAGCATTTTATATGAAAGCACTTTATAAACATTGGGCCCATTCCCACCACCCACTTCTCATCCAAGTAATTTATCCACATATAGGACCTGATCCTGCAAACATTTACACATATGCAAATGTGAATAAAGATATGAGGAATGCATAAAGATATGAGGAGTGGCCCCACAATTAGTCCCATTGACATCAGTAGATTGCATGAACATGAATAAAATCTCCATGTATAAATAAAGACTTGAATTATTCAGGCCCTATTCTATCCTTTTCTTCCCAGCACTGAGTCCTATGCGCACTATACAGCTTTCCCTTTCTTTCTATTTTTATCATTACAGACAACCCAAAACAAAGCAGCCGGGTCCCTGTGTTTATTAAGGTTCTGGATGTAAATGACAATGCCCCAGAATTTGCTATGTTTTACGAGACCTTCGTCTGTGAAAATGCAAAGGCAGAACAGGTGTGTTGATTGTTTGCACTCCACAATAAAAAAAAAACCTATTAAAAATGAATTCTGTTTAGGCATTACTCTTGCGTCACCTCATCAGGAGGTGTGCTTTGTGTTGCCACAAGCTGTCACCGTGCAAAATTAAATTAAACAGTGACTGTGTCATATCTGATTATATTTAGCATTCTTGTATCCGAAGTGACAGTGTGTTTTACATAGTTAAATGTGGTTGCTTCTTGTAGTGTGTCGTGCTATCTACAATTCAGTTCCGTCTCTCTTCCCTTGAATATGGGATTCTGCATCTGTATGTCCGGGTGCTTCCATCATCTCTCTTGAAGAACGGTTACAGGTCTAAACAAAAGTCCTGCCTTGTAAATTAGCTGCAGGCTGCCACATTGCTCTAGTTCCTAGTTCACATTGCTCTGCAAGACCTGTTGCTTGATGGTTCAAAACAGCAGATATCCCAGAGGATTCAGCCACACAACTCCTGTTTAAAATTAATAGGATTTGTGTGGTTAAATAGCCTAGTCAGCTTTGTTATCTCAGCCTTCGTTTCTGCAGCTTGTTCCCACTGGGGATTTCCCACCCATTTGGGATGGCACCAATCCATGCAGTCCCCAGAACTCTGCAGAATTCTCAAGCCACTGCCCAAAGTCATTAAGTTATTGGGCTGAAGGGCTGCAGCATGACAGCTTGGTGACACACACACACAGGCCCAATTTTCATTCATGGTAAGGCCCCTCTGGCAGCATCAAGGGCCTTAAAGCGGAAAAAAATTATATCTATCCCCTTTTTAAGACAATTTAACAGTTCTAGAGCCGACAGCCTTAATGTAAATGAGAATCAGGCCCACAGTCATCGAAGGGTAATTTTGCTGTTATCATTTCAGCTGATACAGACCCTAAGTGCAGTTGATAAAGATGATTCTTTCAGTGGACACCAGTTTTCATTCTCCTTGGCTCCAGAAGCAACCAGTGGCTCAAACTTTACAATCCAGGACAACAGAGGTGAATTCCTAGGAAGACTTTATTTTGTTATTTATTTGTTTTTTTCAGCACTCAGTTGAGAACTCCTGTACCATTTGCTTTGTGTTTTCAGACAACACAGCAGGGATCTTCACAAGAAAAAACAGATATAACCGACATGAAATGAGTACTTATCTCCTGCCTGTGGTGATATCGGACAGTGACTACCCAGTCCAGAGCAGTACTGAAACAGTGACAATCCGAGTGTGCGCCTGTGACCGTCGGGGGAAGATGCAGTCTTGTAATGCAGAAGCCCTAATCCATCCAACTGGCCTTAGCACAGGGGCTTTGATTGCCATTCTTCTCTGCATCATTATATTGCTAGGTAATAGACCCACATGAGTTTCTTTCTTGGGGGAGTGACAGGGTTGCTGGAAGGAAGAGGGGGCATTACACATAAAAGACACATTGGAGAGATCTCTCCTGCATTATTCTGTAACAAAGGAGAAGTCTATAAAATCAGTGCCTAGTGTGTGGAAGACACTCCCAGATCACAATTCTCCACTCACATAGGCAGCAGCATTTTACACCCACTTTGGGCAGATGCAAATGACTAAACAAGGTGCAAGGCAATATATAAAAACCAAAGCCATCAGATGTGTCATGCTGCATTTACAGTGCTACGTTGCAGATTATGAGGCATGCTGAAGTTTGGGTGACCAGACAGCAAGTGTGAAAAATCGGGACGGGGGGCGGGGGGGAGGTTATAGGCGCCTATATAACACAAAGCCTCAAATATCAGGACTGGCCTTATAAAATCAGGACATCTGGTCATCCTAGCTGAAGTAGACACCTGTGGGGGTGCTGGAGAAGCATATTGAGTTGGGACAACTGCAACACCCTTTAAAAGGTCTCTCCTTCCAGCACCAGAAGATACAAATGGGGTGGAGCCCTTTTGGGGTATGCAGCCCTCAGGGCAAGCTCCAGCCCCTCTCCCTTCCATTCGAGGTAGATGAGGACTGGTATTCTGGCTGCCCCCAGCAAAACAGTAGAGCTGGGAGAAAAAAAACCTTCCCTCCTACCCTTTCCTTTCCTTGTACATGCCCATGCAAACACAGTCTGGCCCTTAGCCTTTCGCTGCACTCAGTGCCCACTTTGGGAATATGAGGAATTTTGAAAATTGTTACGATTTGAAAAAGTTGACTCTTAGGGAGACATTGTCAGATGCTCTACCTACCTGCCCAGGGAAGTAAAGGGGGGCATGAAGTACCCCCTCACTCGCATGAGCCAACTACCCATGCCCTGGAAATAGCATGGGACGGGACAGAAAAGGGGATAGAGCAGCCTCTGCAGTGTTGCAGCCCCCACTCCTATGCATGTGGGCTGAAAATGGGCAGGGGTTAGTGGGAAGTAGGTGGCACCAGTGCTGGACCGCCCCCCCCCCCCCACACCCATGCTGGGCAGCACAGCTGAATCACCTTAGCCAAGGAAGTAATCTGCTAATGATGTTTACGAGTAGCAAATGACTCCCTTCTGGAGCAAGAGGATGGAAGGAAACCCACAGACCACATGGTGGCTCCAGACATGCACTGCCCCTTACTCAGGGCAGATTGTTAAATGACAGTCTTGCCCTTAATTTGCAATTACAGGGTTTTTTTATGTCATTACTTTTAAGGATGGGAGCCCACTTAATATCAGCTCATGGAACAGGAAAAAATTGTCCTATGCTGCAAACCATTTTGCATACATTTAGTATAACTGTGCTCAGTAATATCAATCTGACATTAAACGATCTCCAGTTTAATGTCAATTGAAAATAATTGATTTCCTCCTCTCAGCAGCACTTTGTGTCAATTATTGCGCATGTCACCATGCAGCATAAGCAGATTTTCAATTAATAGACTATATCAGTCTAGACTATATCATTTTCTGTTTTCCATCTAGCTGCAGGGTTTGTAGGTGCAAACATTACTCCACGTGATGCAATGACCTGGGCAGATGCAAACCACAATTTCAGTGTTTATAGTAACTAAAGGTGCCTCCAGATTGGTGATTTTATTTGCAGCTTGAGAAAGTTCATATTACTTCCTAGAAACTCCCAGTTAATGTTGAAAATTGATTTGGATAGGATTGATTTGGATAGGATTGATTTGGATAGCTTGACTGTACTTTGATTTTTGCATCTAACTGGTCCTGAGATTTTTATTTGAAAGTTCAGCATAGAAGAAAATTCTTGGAGTATCAAGTACCTAGTATTAGTTATTGTTCATGAATTTATCATTCTGCTATCCCTTTGTGGAGTAACGTTGTTAGCAGGATGCCCCAACAATAATTACATGCATAAAATACAAAGAAGCAAGATCACGTTATCCCTCTCTTCTGAAATGAAAGCCAGTGAATCCCATTAAAAAACTGACCTTCTTGTTTTTCAAATCCTTCATGGCTTTCTCTAGACTACCTCACAGACCGGCATTGCCTCTTTCATCAAACATCAGCCTTCCACATAGTCTCTTAGATTGTATATTCTATAGGACAGGAACTGTCCTTCAGGCGGTGTTTCTATGGCACATACAGAGGGGCCCTCCAAGTGGATTAGGACCTCCACGGGCTACCATAATATAAATAATAAGTCATCATCATCATGTGTGAGAACCTGCAATTCCTGCCATCTAGACCAGTGTCCCTCACCACCACTTCTCCCAGCTTCATCAACTAACCCATTTCTTTTCAAATCATAGCTGACGCTATCCTCTGTTACCCAAGCAGCAAAGACATAACAGCGATTTTTAAAAAATGGGAATTTGCACCTGTTCTGTGGATAGAGTTGCCACTGACTTTGGTGGGAGTTTAGCACAGGGGCTGCAGAAGCAGACACTGGTACTATGTCCTTTAGCCATGTAAAGAATCTTGGAATACAGCTGGCCTAAGAGATGATCTACAAAATAAGGGCTGAATCCCTGAAATGCTTGCATACACTATTGGGAGTCAATAAATGTTTTCAGGGCCAGGCCCAGAAGACTGTATGGAGTAGTATTTAATAGAGCTGGGCAAAAATTTTCAACTGAATTTTTTTTTCAGCTGTTTCAGTGACACCAAAACATTTCACAAATTCATGTTGATTTCACTGAACTGTTCATTTATTAAAAGATAAATTAAAAAACTAACATTTTGTTCTAACATTTTCTGACACGTTTTGATTTTTCAATTCAAAATGACCATTTACAAATTTCCTTTAATTCTGTTTTTAAAAAAATTAAACACCTTAAAAAAAAAAAAGCTTGAAATCAAAAAGTTTCATTTGGCATTGAATGAAACTTTGATCCAAAACAATTTATTTTTATTTTTCGATTTGCTGAAATTAAAAATGGTTCTGTTCAAACCCAAACAATTATTTCCCAATTTTTCAGATGTACCAACAACCTGAAAAATCTGTTATTTGAACAGATCACTATGAGCACTGTAGCAAGAACCATCTTTCTGTAGTGTGTTTGTACAGCACCTAACACAATGGGGCCCTGGTCCATGATAGCATCCTAGAATACAAATAAGAAGAATACCAGTGCCACATTGTTGCTGTTGATAGGTTTTCAGTGATAAACATTCATATGTCATTTAAAAAAAATGAAAAGTAGAGACAAGCTAAGTAACTAAAGTTTGGCTTCACAAGGTAATAGGAAAGTTTGTCTTAGGCCCCAGTGCTGCACTGAGTTCTGTGCAAATGGACCTCCGTGCTGCCACAGAACTGCAATAATGCTAGTGAGACAGTATGCAGGTACAAAACTCTGCCCACCTAGAGATTGTTGCAGTATCAAGGCCTTAGGCACAAACCAAAAAAAGATTATACACCTAAGCATTAAAAAGTGGAAAAGGTGTTTGAGAAATTATGTGGGGTTTTTTGGTGATTAAATAATAAAAAAAGAAAAATACTTGTTCTCTGGGTACAGAGCCACAGCTCATGTAAATCGTCAGTGTTCCATGAAGTCAACAGAGTTATGACTATTTACACTAGCTGAGGACCTTCCCCATGTTCTGCACTTCTTTCCAGGAAAAGAAAAAAAACTACTGAAACAAATAGTTTTGATATGCAGCTTTGCTAACCTTTCATCACACCCCAATAGATACAAGCCTTGTCCTTCGAGCAAGTTTTGCAGCATTTTTGGTGTTCAGCCTAATTTGCACTCTCTATTACAATATTTTTGGGGAGGGGTTTGCCTTGAGACTAGGCTGGCAATTTCAAAGGCGCAAAGTTGCTACACGTCTAAGGGAAAATGCAACCACTGACAAAATATGGCTCTTCCCGCTAGCTTGAAATCCTCTTTCTTCTGATATTTATCCCACTCTCAACTCCCAGAGTGATCACAGGCAACAATCAGAAAACCCCCAAATTCCGGTTTGCAATTTTGCAGTGCAACTTCTGAAAGTTAGAGTTCAAGCAGCACAATATTTCTTTCTGGCTTTAATTGGGTGCCAAATTAACTCTCCCACCCGCACCCCCGTCTCTCCATTTTATTTTTGTTTCCAGTTACAGTGGTGCTGTTTGCAGCTCTGAAACGGCAGCGGAAGAAAGAACCTTTGATAATTTCCAAAGAGGACATCAGAGACAACATTGTCAGTTACAATGATGAAGGCGGTGGAGAGGAAGACACCCAGGCTTTTGATATTGGCACACTGAGAAATCCTGAAGCCATAGAAGACAATAAATTACGCAGAGACATTGTGCCAGAAGCACTTTTTATGCCGCGCCGGACTCCAGCGGTACGAGATAACACCGATGTCAGAGATTTCATTAACCAAAGGTTAAAGGAAAATGATACCGATCCTACCGCGCCCCCATATGACTCGTTAGCGACCTACGCGTATGAAGGTAATGGCTCTGTGGCAGAATCCCTCAGCTCCTTAGAGTCGGTGACTACGGATGGAGATCAGGACTACGATTACCTCAGTGACTGGGGGCCTCGATTTAAAAAGCTGGCGGATATGTACGGCAGCGTGGACAGTGATAAAGACTCTTAATATGTTGCCTTTGTTGATTTCCAGAAACAGCATTGAGATATGTGAAGTAGTTATTTCTTTCTATTTATCCATGGCTCTGTGATAGGGCTCTCTATTCTATCGGTTCCAGTTGTCTAATGACTGCAGTCTGTGTGGATCAAATGTCAGAAAACTTTTTTCTAGTATAATTTTATGAGCTTCCAAGAGGCAATTTTTTTTTTTAATGCATCCACTTTACCAAGCCAGTCTTACAGGCACAGTGGTAGGGGAGGGAAACAGGAATGGAGGGAAGCAATATTTGTACTTGTTCTGCTTATATTGTAAATTGGAGTATATTACTGTTCCAGCTCACTTAATCTTCTTACTGTATTCAGATTATTCAGCTCAGATGATTGCTCTGTCCATTTTGTATTGCACATCCTAATGTACTGAGGTATTATGGTTTAACCTAAATATTATAGTAAAAAGTAGTGGGGGAGGAATTTATTATAAAATTAGAATCAGCTGACAAGGCTATAAGACAACATGAGAGTAAATTTATTCTTGAATTTAAAGATGTCTAATTGCCATTTAACTATAAATATTTTTTGTTGAACCTGCCATTGGCCCCCAAAGCATAAAATCATACCAACTCCATGTATATAATTCCCTGTGGACCACTATATCTGTATCCTTCTTACCCAACATTCACAGAGAGATGTGTGTGGTCTGTAGCTCTGAGCACAGAATTGCTAAGTACTATCTCAGTTCTAATACTGACTCACTTTGTAACATTGGGCAAATCACCTAATCACCTTGGATTAGACTGTGGTTTTGAAACAAGACTTGAGCAAGGAGCAGAATGTAGTTGTGCTGTATCTTATGTCTAGTATAGATCACTTCCTCCAGGCACACCAGCTTAGTGTGTAGGGAGGCCAAGTGAGGCTCCACCCATTCCTCTGCTTCTTCCCATCCACACACAGAAGGGGAGTAGCAACTTGAAGAAGGCTACCATCTTTCTTGTGACAAGGATAGCGAGTGAAAAGGAGAAAGGGGGTACCTTGCACCCTTTACTCCCTTGCAGGGGTGCATAAAATGGGTCACATTCTGACTCTGTCTCAGTTTTGCCATCTGTAAAATAGGAAAATAATGCCTACTTCACAGGGATGTTGCAAGGGTTAGAGAGAGTTTGAAAATTGCTTTGAAGGAGGAAAGGGCTAAACTCTCATCCTAGTAAGTCATTTCTAATGGTTTTTTAATTTTTATTTTTTTATTTTTTTGGTGTGGATTTGAGCCCTGAATGCACAAGTAAATGAGAAACGTTCATCATTCTGGTTACTAGAACCAGGAAGGTTTTAGAACACTGTCTTTACAAATGCATCAACCAGAATTGTTATAGGTTTCAATTACACTAAGAGGAGGCATTTTAAACATGAATCTTTCAGTTGGTTTCTTTAATTTCCTTACCAAACCTGCCATTTTTGCCCAAGCCAGAACAGTGGTGCCATAGGACTCAGTACGGGCCAGTGTCTCTTCTTTACAACTCACATGCATGAGGCAAAAGTAATCAGCAATGTCACTGATTACGTTTCAGATCCAGTCATCTGAAATAAATAGATTATTGCAGCTTTTATAACCCTAAGGTCATAGCCTTATGAAACCTTATCAGGAAAGAGTGAAGTTTCTCTTTATACATCATATACAACCAGTCTCATTCATTCAATATAAATAGAATAATTTACATAGAATAATTTTATGTGATCTGTTGCAGCTGCTAGGTATTTGTGTTCTTTCCTTGAAACCATAAACCAGTTTAAACACCAGTCAGTAGCTCCAATTTACCCTTTCCAATAATACAAGGATAAGACAAACATTAAAAGGCAGCAAACTAAAAGGGATTAAAAAATATTTTACCATATTTTATACCATCTGCGGAACTCATTGCTACAGGATAGTAAGACAAAGGGTTTAGTAAGATTCCAAAAAGGATTAGACATTTACAAGCATAATATGTGCTTAGAAAAACTAGGATTCAATGTAAAGGGCTATCAATCTTTGTGTGTTCAGGGCATAAACTGGCATCAGGAAGGCATCTCCTCCCCGTTGCTTAATTCCCAATTGTGCAGTGCTGGACAACTAGACCCTTTAGAAAAATCCCACTAAATGCCTACGTGCATCTTTAAGCACCAAACACCTTTACAAATCTGTCCCTTTATGTCTCTCTTTCAATAGTCTGGCAGTAGCCATTGTCTGAGGCAGAAGAGCAAGTTAGATGGTTACTGGTCTGTTCTAGGGTAGTGTGTTTCCTATTTTCTTATCATTTCAGATGTTTTGTTTTTTCTTAATTAATGATACTTAGTAGCAGTTCAGGCTAGAATTTTGCATTTTATTGACCAATGATTTTATCTTGTCAGGAACATGACATCGTGTACAGAGAATGCACCACACAAGCCTGTTGTGTAAATATATATAAAAGTATGCAATCTACTGACACCAAAATTATGGTGACAAACTGAATAGCAAGTGAATTCCTGTAAGAAATTCTCATGAGGCAATTGCATCATTACTCACGTCTGAATTATCCTTTTATCCATCCAGCTTATAAGTGCTGATTTTTCCACAAATGAGACTCATTTACCGTCACTCACACATAACAAGAAGGGTCCAATTCAGTCTTGTCTTCTTCCTCTATAGCTCCACAAAGTGCCATTAAAAAAAACCAGTGCCATTTAAATTGCCATATTGCAGTAAATAAAATATTTGCGGTAATATTTTTTATTGCACCTTGTGTGCTGCAGTGGCAAAGGATGGAAACCACTGCGCCACACTATTTTTATTCAATGACTGGGATGTTAAAATTGTCCATTATAGACAAAGAAGTGTCAGATTACAGCCTGAAAAGTGGGTTTCTGGGCTGTGTTAAGGAAGTGGACTGCTGCCTCAATCACTAGGATATCTGGTCAAGTAGAAAGAACCCCTGAAACGATGCTAGGAGATTCCACTGAACAAGGTGAAGATGAGCTACACAATCAGCTTGTAGTCTCAATAGTGGCAAACTAGATGACCTGAAATAGGAAAGGTACTGAAGGGTACCGAATAGTCTAGTGAGATGAGTGTGAAGGGGAAGGAGGGACATGGCATAGCAATAGCAGAACAACTATTGGAGTAATTATTTCAGAAGAAAGTCATTTTTATTCCAGTGTCCACATGGGGAATTATACAGGAATATCTATAGCAGAATAATTATTCCACTACAGCTATATAGGAAATTTCCCATGTGGACAAACCCTAGAAGGAGATCTGAGGCTGGATCCTGCAATGAGATCTGTGCAGGAAGGATCCCACTGCCCAAATAGAGCCTCACTGGTGTCATCATGGGACGGGAGTTCAGTCCCCAGACCTGATGTTTCCTAATATGCTGTCTGACCATGGGAAACTCATGTGATCTTGGTCATTTCCGTTTCCTTTGCTATAAGCTAGGAGGAATAACACTCACACCCCTTTAGAAAGTGCTTTGAAATCCTCAGATTAAAAGGCACTACATCAGGCAGTGCCAATAGCAACATTTTCAGAATAAGCCCTAAAAGGTGAGCAGACTTTTCCTATTTATTTTTTGGTTCACTGCCAGGGCTGTCCTGATTATATACAAACACATTTCATATTTGTTAAACATGAAAAAAATTAAAAAGCAGTTTTCAGCTCTTCTAATTTTTCAAGTAACAGGCTACATCTCGAGGCACAGAGTTGGCATCTATCTGTCATACTGAATTATGCAGAAAAAAATTAAATTGGGTGTTTATAGCTCCCATGGTTGTAGCAAATAATAAGCAATATATTAATAGGCAAGTAGGTAGAATTAGGTATGGAATTCTGTGTGTGTGTGTTTGTATGCATGAGAAGGAAGAAATAATGAACATTTTAAAAGAAGGCACATTTGTAAATTAGATATTTCCATCTTCATTGGGGACAGTAATGAATGCTTAGTCAATTCCTTGGGGCCAGATCTTACACTTTCAGAATTCCAATAGGAGTTTTGCATGTGTGAGGAGCAAAACAGACTCCTAGCTGTCTTGCTCAGACAAAATAACTCAGAATCAGTGCCATTTTGGTGCAGAGCTCTAGCAAAAAAAGACCCCACAGCTGGAAAGTTTAAACTGCTGTAAGACAACATTTCACTTTTTTTTTTTATTATGCTTTAATTTTATACATCATTTTATACATGATCTCTAATCTGGATGCTGCCATGCTAGCAGGTGGTCCAAAGTCCCAATGGCCCATTGTGTTTAAATTAACACTGCAATCTGGATTTCTTTATCAAATTATGAGACCTGACAGATTAACAGTTGCTATGTTTATCTTGACTGGGGCAAACTGTTTCATAAATTTTGAAAAGGCAATTTTCCTTACAGCCCTTCAAGAATTATGGCGCAGCCACTTCCTCCCCCTCCCCTGAATGTTAAAGCTGCAGCATTTTACATTTCCCTTCAGTAGTTGGAAAAAGGCATTTTCTAAGGATTTTTCTATAAAAAAGGTAGAACAAAACCATATTTAATGTCTGTGGCTCCATGGTTTGCTCTATTAGGAGGGAAATACAGTAGCTGTCTCACTTGTTAAAAATTAATACAGCAAAGGATCTTTAAAAAAAAAAAAGATTGGTTTATGGTCCCTCCCTTTTCAGTTTAATTTAGACACAGCTGAGACAATAATCTTTAACCTGCCCTCCATTTTGTAATACCATGCTTATGGCCTGGTCCTGCATTCTGTGCATATGCAACACTTTCCTTTAAGGGGAAGATGGCAGTGTTGAAGTCAAGGAGAAATTGGCTGGCTCCTCAGGGAATTCAGAAGCAGGTGGTTATGGTGCATATTTGGGGATTGTTTTGTTTTTTTAATGAGATGGAGGGTGAGAAGTTGCAGGTAGGGTAGTAGAAAATGGGGGAGAAAAACTAATCAGTCATATGCTAAGCAGGACCACTGTGACACTTAAAGCAGCAGAGCTACCATATGACACATAGTATTATTAGATTACATATGAGCTTTTA